TGCTAACTGTAGCTTAGAGCTCCATTCCTTTCTGGAATGATTTATTAATCTACAGTGATTACCATTTCCCACTTAATATCTCAATTAACTTATATTTCTACAATTGCCTCCCACAGCTGGTTTTGCTATTAATACTTGGGGAAAAAAATCACAACATAATGCAAAATAATTAAAATACTTTTAAGGTCTTTGTGGTACGGCAATCTAAGGGAAAAATGATGTGTATCAGCAGTGGAGTGAGTGTCCTTTGCCGCTTCACCCCTGCTCTGAAGGTCAAAACTAGTCTAGATGCCTCTTCTGTAGCTTTTTCCTTGACCCACACAGAAAGTCACCTGACTAAAAGGCTCACACTATCATAATTACTTAAATTCCCACCACCCAAACTAAACTGTGGATACCTGAAGAGCAGCATTTGATCACTGATCCTTATTCTGCTGGGTAATAATCAACAAATTTTTGTTGAAGGCATTATAAGAACTAATCTAAGGATTTCTCTTGAAGGCTGTTAATGAATTAATTTCCAAGAGTGATTAATGACATTATCAAAATCAAAAGGACCTAAGCAATTACATAGTCTAGAAAATAAATTAGTTTCAATTGGGAATTCAAATGTTTGGTGTTGTCCACCTCTGATCACAGCAGACCTCTCCCACTGTACCCTTTCCAGTCTGTTATTTTCTTTGTTTTTTAGAGACAACTTCTTGATAAAGTATCTGTTAAACCATTTAAAATTCAATTACAGGCAATTTCTGCAATAAAAAACCTCCATTAAGACACAACTGAAATATCATGCCATAAGCAATAAATAGCATGTTTATTGTTATAAAGTAACCCCAGACATTAATGGACAGTCCCTTCAGAAAGGGCACTAAGGTGTGTTTTTAATGGAGGCAAGTTAACATTTTTTTAATCAATTCTCATAAAGAAATTATAAACTGTGAGGTAATACCAAAGCCAAACTGAAATGTTACAATTATGAAATACCCAACGACTTACATAGGGCTCTCACAGATTTCTTGAACATCAGTATTACAAATGGCTTTAGCCAAGCCTGTCATCTTTCTTTCTCTTCAGTTGTTCTACTTGGTAAAGACAAAGTGTGCAAGTTGCCAGGGTCTTTTTGGTGTTTTAACAGTCTCACTATGCGGCACAGGCTGGCCTCAAATATAACCAACCCCCTGCCTCAGCCTACCAAGTGCTGGGATTTACAGGCGTCTACCACACCTGGCTTTTAAACAAACTAAAAACTTTAAACCAGAAAAAAAAAAAAAACTAGAAATGTGCCAGCCAATCAGTAAATTATGATACATCTAGATGATAGAAAACCATAAAGTTATGTTTGAGCTGTATGCACAGGTAGAGAAAGATGTCTTTGATGTTAAAATATACTTAGGCAATGATCCCAGTTTTGTTCTCAGAATGTTGTGAAGCCAGACACCAGCGGCTCACGCCAGCCTGGGCAAATAGATCGTGAGACCCCCCTTTCAAAAAAACTCATCGCAAAAAAGGGCTGGAAGAGTGACTCAGGGTGCAGGCCCTGAGTTCAAATCCCACTAACAGAAATAGTATCTCTTCATACAACTGGAGGATTATTTTAAGTTATGGTACAGCTGTAATATGGAACATTATACAGGCATTTACAAGAGTCAGATAGGTTTACTTGTCTTGATATCCAACAATGTTTGATATAAACAGCAAAACCGTATTTCAAATTTTTTAAATTAATGTAGATGCGTACAAAAGATCTTGCTGGATAAACACCTATGAACAGTGGTTGCTCAAGAAGGGAGGGGTGCTAATTTCTGGTAGGGTTTTGGCTTTTTTATCTGGTTCACGATTACTAATTCTAAGTTATTTTTAAAATACTCCAGCCACAAGAACCAGTAAGGTTTCTGAATACTTCCTAGTAATATCAGTATTTTCTGTGAGTTGAAGTACAATCCAAATGTTACCTAATATCATTTTTTAAGTCACACATAGTAGAAATTGTTTAAACTTTATGCTTCCAACGGACTTTTTAATAAAAAAAAATTTCACTTTTAATACCATGAAACAAGGGCACATGAATATAACCTGACAGAGATGGCAAAAAGGAAAAAAAAGCATGGCCCCATTTTGGTTTAGAGGCCTATGTCAAAAAAAAGCCAAAATCAGGCTGAAAGGAAATCTTTCCCAATGATCACACTTTCTACACTGATAACTTGACCAAAACAAGAGATTTACCCTCTAAGTACAAATGTCACCTTCTTAAGTAAAATCCATACTCAATCTAGATGTAGTTATGCTCAAACCAACCCAATACCCAAATGTCCACTTTCAATCAGACACAGAAAACTTAACCTACAATGCAAATGCAAATTTAAGAAACACATTTAAAAGGCAAATAAATAAGCCAATCACTGTCAACTCTGGTCTTGAGGGAATCATAAACACCAAATTCTCAAGTATCCTCAGTCCTTTTACCTTACTTAAAAACTAAACAAAAAGGTCTGAATTAAATTTAAATATGTATTCTCCAAAACACTAAGGAATAGGATATAATCATCAGTATATTCACTCAGCTCTGGTAGCACTTTGAACCTTAACAATTTGCAAGCTTTTTAAAGAGATTTAGTCTTAACTTCTTTCAAGAACTTTCAAAACTACATTCAACTAATGATTACTTTTGGCACAAAAGTCATATTCAATACTGACTAGGTTCTGTACCACCTCTTCTCATGACATCTTGTTGGATTTGAAGAAATTAATGGTCACACTAATTCTCCTGGGTGAAAGTAATCAAAACATAAAACCAGTTGCAGGCCCCACCCCCTTTTTAAAAAGCCCCACAAGCCAAAACGTCTGCATAAAAACTGACAAGCGGAACCCAGGAAAGACTCACAGAAATTTCTAAGGGTAGACACATGACATATTAATATACCATGACCTGACAGCACTTTGCTCTTCTAATTGACAAATTCTTTCACATAACTCACTAGCCATCTTTTTAGAAGTCACTATGCTGAGAATAAAAAATGACAATAACCCTATTAGACTGAAAATCCTCCAAAAGATGTACTATCCCAACAGATGCTGAATAGATCTTTCCATCAAAACTAAGCCAAGCAGAGTAATACAAAACACAAAAAATTTAAGCAAATCCTTTTCTGTATCGTAGAGCTACCCCCCACCCCCAAAAAAAGGCTGAACCAAATTATCAAGTGAAGTAGCCTATGGAAAGTTTGTGTATCACTAAAAGTAAAAAAGTAGAGCAGAAACTTAAGGAAACTATACAGCTATGTAAGAGCAAATACATAAATGTAAATATTTCACTAAATATTTACTTTCCACACTGTGCAGAAACATCTATCCCATTTGTTAGAGATATATTTAAGTATTAATCAAGCATCAGCTATCCTTTGTCAAACTAACTGAGCAGCCATTACCCAGCCTAGCACTCACAACTTCTCTTCCGAGTCCTAGCAATTAAAAAAAATTTTGGCAGAAGACCAACCCTTAGGAATTAGTGACCACACCAGAAAAAAGCGTGAGGGGAAACCAACATTAAGATTATTCTTTCACTTTAAAACCCAACAATCTCCTTCTCAGAAAGCTTCTCAGTATAGATTTGGGTTTTCAACTTCAAATTTTACCATAACATTAAGTCATTAAGTATACTGCATTAATTGGTACTCTTGAGCCCACCCACCAGGTTATACATACTCTCACTCAATCATGTAAAGAATTGAATTCTTTATTTGTGATATCCATAAACGTTGCTATTCTATATTTCTATCCAGGAAGGCAATTTTCTCCTATTATCAGGCTTTTTTTTTTTTTTTTATAAACAACAACTTGAATTCTATTGCATGAAAGGGCTACAAATATACATGTTAACCAAGCAGAATACACAGATTATTTTGCTTTACAACTTGCACCTAAAATACCAGTACACATAGCTGGTTCATTAGTTGTCATAGCAATTTGGGGCTATTGCCCAAGCTATGCATAGCAATTTACATTTTCAAATCTCATGTAGAAAGGGCGACTGTGATAGGGGCTGACATCTACATTCTGCTGAAGCCCATCTCAGTTACAAGTAAATGTGTAACTTCCAAGTTTGCACAGATTTTTGATGGCAAAACTCCTAAATCTGATGCAATTGTCCTAAACAAGTTTTCTGAACAAACTGTCTTGCAGCTATACTGCCATTCTGCCAGTAGATGGTAGTGCTACAAAGGTTGGGAGAAGGATTTCCACGAGGGCAACAGTTCAAATATATGGGGGAAAAAAACGTTTCTAAACCTGCTCTGAAAATACAAAAATGCTGTTAGGGTAAAATGTAACCCTTACTTGTAACCATTCATTACAGACAAACCCGTAAGAGATGAAAACTAGGCCATCTGAAAATTTTTAAACAGTTTGTATGAATGAAAACACATGCTTAAACACAAAAACTATTTCTTTTAAAACTACACAGTACATACTTTGAAGTAAATTCTCCTAAGAAAGTGACCAACCATGTCAAGATAAGCAAATCGTTTAGTACAAGCGATGGATGCACAGAAACTTTAAAAAGCCACATCCACCACTTCAAAAGTTTTGCCTGTAAGGGATAAAATTCAACACATCACTAGCAGGGCAACAGGAAAAAGAAAAAGGAAAAAAAAATAAGCTTTTTTCTCAAAGCACACGTCAAAAACTAACATGAAAAATCTTTTTTAACTAGCATCCCTTAAAACGGTACGGAATGGATCCTAGAAAAAAAATGTTAGACATATACGGTCAAACACAATGATTTATTAAAAATAAAACGTAAAAATGATTTTTGTACATATGCTTCCAAATTTTTCAGGCATGGGAATCCAAGTAAGTTTCATAGAAAAACGCTGAAGCCAGGTATCAAGTCCTTACAACAAAGTAAACTACCCCGCCCAACCCCCACCCAGGTTTTTGCTACAGAATCAGCAAGTTCACTCCCTCCCTCCCTCCCTCCCCAAAAAAAAAAAAAAAAACAAATTCAAACAAGACATTTTTGCTAGTATAAAAACGACCAAGGTCCAAGTAATAATAAAAAAATAGAGTCCATCAATGACTGTAACACAAAATGTGTGTGGGGGGCCGAGTCCATCTTTGGGGGGTGGGGGAGAGGCAAGAGACCAGAGGTGGCAGGCAAACCCGGGGAGGGGTGGGGGACAGCGCGAGGGCGAGCAGCCTGGGGAGCGCGCGGCCCCCCGCGGGAGGGCGTCAGACGCCGACGAAGGGCGCGGGTGGCGCCCTCCTAGAACGAGCTGCCCCCGTAGCCACCGCCGCCGCCACCGCCGCCGCCGCCGCCGGCCACCGTAGCCACCCCGGTACGGTCCGCTGCTGCTGCGGCCGCCCCAGCTGCCGCCGCCGCCGCCGCCGCTCTTCATCGGCCCGTACGACGACTGGTGCTGGCTGTACGAGCCGAAGCCGCCGAAGCCGTTCCCGTAGTCGCTGCCCCCGTACGACGAGCCGCCGCCACCGCCATAGGCGCCGTAGCCGCCGCCGCCGCCGTAGCCGCCGTAGCTGTTGTAGCCGCCGCCGCCGCCCTTGGCCAGCCCGTTTTGATCGCGACCCCCGCCGCGACCTCGGCCACCACGGCCACCGCGGGAGGCCCGCGCGCCGCCGCCGCCGCCGCCGCCTCCACCGCCGGCGTGGATGTCCTCCTTGGGGACCGCCTTCTTCACCTCCACGCGGTGGCCTTGGATCGGGTGGAACTTCACCACCGCCGCTTTGTCGGCTGCGTCGTGATTCTGGAAGTAGACGAAGCCGAAGCCGCGCTTCTTGCCCGATTGCTTGTCGGCGATAATCTCCGCCTTCTCCACCGCGCCGAACTGCGAGAAATGCTCGATCAGGTCGCCCTCCGCCACGTCGCCCTTCAGGCCCCCGACAAACAGCTTCTTCACCTTGGCGTGGGCGCCGGGCCGCGCCGAATCCTCGCGCGACACCGCTCGCTTCAGCTCCACCGTGTTGCCGTCCACGGCGTGCGGCGAGGCGGCCATGGCGGCGTCCGCCTCCTCCACGTTCGAGTAGGTCACGAAGCCGAAGCAACGGGAGCGCTTCGTTTGGGGATTCACAACCACCACGCAATCCGTCAGCGTCCCAAACGCCTCAAAATGACCGCGTAGGCCGGACTCACTCGTCTGCACATTGAGGCCACCGATGAACAGCTTACAGAGCTGTGAATTCTCCATTTCCACGGCCCGGCCCTTCCCCCCGCCCTGAGAACTCCGGGCTTTCGCCGTCGCCGTGATTCCTGGCTTGTGAAGGCCCTCGTCAACGCCCGGGCCCGGCCGTTGCTTGGAACCGCCCCCGCCGGTTGCCGACGGGGAAGGGAGGAGGGGAAGGGGGGGAAAAGGAAGGAAGGAAAGGAAGGAAGGAGAGAAGGAAGGGGGAGGGAAGGGGAGAGGTGCCGGCTAGAGGGCGAGCCGAGGAGACTGGAAGACAACCAAGGCCGCCGCTACCGCCACCTCCGCTCCCCTATCTGGGCACCACACAAAGAGGCCGCTGAACGCGCGCGCACCCTCCCCGAGGCGTGCGTCATCAGCGACGTACGGCAGCGCAGGGCTGTCGGCCAATCCCCGCCTCGCTAATCTTAGTCCCGCCTACCGCGCCGCAGCGCCGCTCTCATCACGGACTCCCCGCCCTCCGCGGTCCATTCAAGCTCTGCGCCTGCTCTGCTTCTTCCGCCCCTCCTATCGTCCCGCTTTCACGCCCGCGAGCCCCCGTGGGCTCTGTCAAGGGATCGTGCCAGCCCTCCGCGCACCTCCGTGATTCATTTCCTTCCAGCCCCACGGCTGTTCCCAGCGGCTCGCCCCCTCCCCTTTCGCCCCGTCCCCTCGCCGAGCTCCGCAGTGGCGTTCGCGCCAGCCCCTTGAGAGACATGTCAGTTCAGCCAATCACCGCGATTCTCCTCACACCCACTTCCGTTTTGGGCGGCCGCTGAACGGGCGCGCTCCCCGGTGCGCGTTTGTCCCGGCTCTCCCTGAGTGCGGACCTCCCGGCCGCCCCCGCGCCTCCTCCCGCCCGGCGTTGTGGTGGGGGGGGAGGAGACGAGGGGCGCGCCGGGGGCCGTTCCCAACGGATGCGGCCTGGGGCGCCACGCGCGGGCTTTTTGAAAACTTGACTGTTGGGAATGGGGGCCCAGATCTACCCGCCGTGTCTCCCGGGCCTGCTACACCTGGCATCCCCACCCCGTGGTTGCACAAAGATGGAAGGCAGAGGCCTAGGCCAGAAAGGCCGTTATTAACCGTTTACGGGGGGGCCGGAGCTCGGTTAAACTAGAAGTTGACACGCGCCTTGTGTGAAACCGAGCCCGAGCCAGGGTGAAAGACAAGAAGGCCCCAAAGCCCTTCAGACTTCATCCCCGCCATGCACGCGACTCCCCTTGGGCACGCTCCTCAGACATGTCCATTTTACCCCAGGGAACGTTTCATAAGCTCATTTATGTCACCTATGTATTGCTTCCTTTCAACTAAAATGTCAGCTCTTTAAAGGCGTTTTTTATCAGGCCAAGGGAGATGACCATTATATATAATGATCGTGCACACTTGAGAAACTGCTTTAGGATTCCTCACTTAGGTGGGAATACAAAAAAAAAACATACATACATATGTATGTATATATGTGTGTAATGTATGTATGTATGTATGTATATTGCCCTAGCTACTCAGGAGGCAGAGATCAGGAGGATCTCAGTTCTAAGCAAAAGCTCCCCCAGGCAAATAGTTTAGGAGACCCTCTCTCGAAAAAACCCATCATAAAAAAGGGCTGGTGGAGTGGCTCAAGGTGTAGACCCTGAGTTCAAGAAATTATTGAACTTTGTGTATCAAGATATGTAGGGTAGAACAAGTTACTGTTAAAGCACTACATGACCAACAGCCTCCCAAACCACATGATAAATACTGACTTCAAGAGAAATTCATTATATACTAGAGTGTTGAGGAATAGTTGAGAAAGAGGTGATGTTCAGGTGAACCTCAAAGTCACCGGCTGTTTGACAGTACTGGGAAATGAACCCAGAGCCTTGCCCATGCATGAGTCCTCTACAACTTGAGCCATGCCCCTTTGCCTTTTGATTTGTGTTTCTTTGCTTGTTTGTTTGAACTCAGGGCTTCACGCAAAGCAGGCACTCTACTGTTTGAGCCACACCTCCAGTCCATTTTGTTCTGATTATTTTGGAGATGGGATCTTGCAAACTTTTTGCCCTTACTGGCCTCAAACTACAATCCTCCCAATCTTAGCCTCCCAAGTAGCTAGGATTACAGATGTGAACCAACGGGTGCCAGACTCTGTTTTGTTTTTGAGGATGGCGAGTGGAGCAGACAGCTTGGGATAGAAAATAGAAGCAAGGTAGATTGAGGGTCTTTAATATTATGGTATGTCTTGAATCTTTGGTTAAGTAGTTTGACTATTATAGTAGGAATGTATAGTTGGGCTTAAAATTTGAGAGCAAACTAGTCTGGCTCTATCACTTTCCAACCATCCAGTTATGTGACTTTGAGCAAATTACCTAACCTTTAAGATACATACCAGACACTGGGACTCTCACGGCAAATAATAAATGAAAATCTGTCCCCAAGAAACTTAAGTTCTAGTGGCAGACAATAAACGAAAATGATGTATAGACCTGCTCAATGGCATAATTTTAATCCCAGCTACAACAAAGGCTGAAGCAGGAAGATTTCTTATGCCCAGGTCTTCAAGGCCAGCTTCAGCAACATAGTAAAACCATCTCAAAAAAGTTTTTAAAGGGGCAGGGAAGCTAGGAATGTAGTGAGAGGTAGACTACCTGCCTAGCATGCATGAGGCCCTGGGTTCAATCCCCAGCACCACAGGAAAAAAAACCAATATATGGAATATGGCATGTTAGAGATAAGTACCATTGAAAAGTTGAAAGAGGGAAGAACAGTAGGATTTGCTAATTGATGATGAAGGGTAAAAAGTAGCATAAAAGTGTTTGAAACCTGGAAGCCTAAAATGCTAGTATAATGGAAGTAGAAAATTCAAAAAAAGGAACTATATTGGAGGGAGGGGCAGGGTTGCTGATGAGCAGAGGTATAAATGTTTGAGGTGACAGTGGTGTATTCGTGGGACAGTGTTTTCTGGGGTGCATGACTATAGCTCAGATGAGATTAGACTTCGAAAAATACATTTTAGAACCAGGCATGGTAATACACATATAATCCCAGCACCTGAGGCAAAGGCAAAAGGACTGTGAGTTCCAGGCCAGTCTGGCCCACATAGTGGAGACCCTGTCTCAAAAAAAAAAAAAAAAAACACTTTAGATACATAGTCATCCAAGTAAATATTAAAACAGTACAAAATGAATTCCTGAACAAAAACTACAACTTATTTTCTACCTAAATTGAAATTCTTTTTTTGTTTTTTGGGGTTTTTTTGTTTTTTTTTTTGGTTTTGGTTTTTCTGCGGTACTGGGGCTTGAACTCAGGGCCTTCACCTTGAGCCCCTCTACCATCCCTTTTATTTGTGATGGATTTTTTCAAAATAGGGTCTCGCGAACTTATTTGCCCGGGCTGGCTTCAAACCAATATCCTCCTGATCTCTGCCTTCCGAGTAGCTAGGGTTACAGGCGTGAGCCACCGGCACCCAGCTTGAAATTCTTAAAGTAACAATTTTCTCCCGCATTCTTTAAAATGATATTCCACATCACCTGACTGGGGACCCATTAGGGGTTTAATTTCTATTAACCAAGAAATCTTCAAAGAGAAATGTGTGTTTTTATAAAAATTACATATACAAGGGGTTAGGGATGGTGAGAGACAACAAAAGCGTGTTTGAGAAACATTAAGAAAGCCAGGATAGTGGCTCATGCCTGTAACCCTAGCTACTTGGGAGGCTAAGAGCTGGAGGATCATGGTTCGACATCGGCCCAGGCAAATAGTTCCCAAGACCACATCTCCATAAAATAACTGGGGAGAAAAATGGACTGGGCTGTGGTTCAAGCCGTAGTGTGACTGCTTTGCAAAGGCAAAGCCCTGAGTTAAAAAAAAAAAAAAAAAAACAGCCAGGATAGATGCAGTATGGTTGGAACATTAGATTCTTTTTGGACCTTAGATAAGTAAAAATTGAATGTTCTGGTTTGAATATGAAATGTTCCCCCACAGAATCATGCAGTGGGGGCTTGGTTACCAATGGATTGGCTTTGGGAAGTGATTGGGTCCTAGTAGGTATGACTGAATCAATGGATCAGTCCTTGATGGATTGGTTCACAATATGATGGCATTATTAGAAAGTGGTAAAAAGTTGATGGAGGAAGTAGGTCAATGGGGATAAATCATGAGAAAAAGGTATCTTGTCCCTTGCACCTTCTTCTCACTCTCTGCCCTCTGTCCACCGTGAGACAAACCTCTTTGCTCCACCATATGCTCCTACTACAGTGTTCTTCCTCACCATGGCCATGCTTCCAAATGGAACTGTAACTGAAAGTAAGGTCTTTGGGAGTAGGGGAAATGGCTCAGTTGATAGACTGCCTACCTAAAAAGTAAAAAGCCTGAGGTCAAACCCCAGTACAACAACAACAAAAAGAAAATCTTTAGAGAGGGGGGTAAGTTGAAATAAGGCCATTAGGGTAGAGCTGTAAGTCAATGTGATTTATAAGAAGAGGAAGAGAAACCAGGGCACACATGCACAGAGGGATGGCCATGTGGAGAGGCAGCAAGAGGGCAGCCATCTGCAAGCCAAGGAGAAGGGAGGTCTCAGAAAACCCCAGCCCTGCCAGTGTTTGACTTTTAATAGTTACTTCTAGTCTGTGAGCCTTTTTGAAGCCAGGAATAAGCCAATTGAGTCTTTTTCATAATGGATCACTTTGACACTGACTCTTCTGTCTCTCATATAATCTAGGTGCAATGGACTGAATGTGTCCTCTAAAAATTCATATGTTAACAGTCTAATCTCAGTGTTCTAATATTTGCAGGTAGGGCATTTGGGAAGTAATTAGGTTATAAGTAGTGTGGAACCCTCATGAATGGGATTAGTGCCCTTATAAAAAGTGGTCAGAAAGATAGCTAGCTCTCCTTTCACCTTGAGAGGATATAGCGAGATAGTCAGCAGGCTGAAACCTCAAAAAAGTCCCTCACCAGAACCCAGTCATGCTGGCTGGCACTCTGATCTGGAGCTGCCAGCCTCCAAAAGTGGGTAAAAGAATTTTCTGTTGCTTATAAGCTACCCAGTCTGTGATACTTTATTCAAACAGCCCAAACCAAGACAGGAAGATAATTCTTTTAAAGTTGTGGATTAGCAACCTTAATTTCATCCACAATTTCTTTGTGGGGGGGGAGGGGGAACCACTGGAGTTTCAACTCAGGGCCTCACACTTGCTAGGTAGGCATTCTTACTGCTTGAGCAACTCCACTGACAAAATTCTAGGCAGTACTGGGAATTGAACTCAGGGCCTTGTGCTTGCCAGGCAAGCACTGAGCCATTTGAGCCACATCCCCTCCATCCACGATCTTAATTTCCCATCACCA